GGAGTTAGCAATTTGAGTACGATCATATAAGCGTTTTTGTTTTTTAATTATATTATTGCAGTGATTTCTGTACCGTTTAAACGCAGTCTTCAAAATTTCATCATATGGGTTAAGTTTTAGATTGTATTGCATTTTATTTCTATTTCTAATACAGGCTAAAATTCCAGTAGTTATCCAAGGTTTAAGGCATCTTTTATTTTTAGGAATATTTATTATTTTACAATTTTCCCCAAGAGCTAATTTCATCTTATAGATTAAAGTATCGATTACATAGTCAGGATCTTGACTATAAAGTAAATCTGGAAGGTTTTTTGTAGCTAAACTAAGTACAGCCTCCTTATAGTCAATGATTGTTTTAGTTTTCTGAGCGATAAATTTAGGTTTTTGATTAGCCAACACTAATAGTAGCATGTGATGGTCCGTTATAGTTGTATCGAAAACAGCTATATGAGCAGATATAGATTTATTAGTGAGTTTTAACAAAAAATGGTCAATACAGTTATTCTTTCTGGTGGGAAAATGGTGCCCCGCGGCAAGGCCGTGCATAGCTAGCATATCAAGGTAATTCGTTTTATTATTTCTTTCGTATGTATTGTCAAGTATTCTATGGGAGATATTTATGTTTATATCACCAGTAATAATAAGATCTTTATGTTTATTTAATGTGTTTATATGTGCACTTAATGAGGTAATGAAATCGTCGGCATTGCGCATTGAGGGCGATCGATATACTCCCAAAATGATTGAGCCATGCAATTCAATTTGTAAACATGATGCGTGGACTAAAATTGGTTCTGTTACAAGAAATTTCACTGTATTACGAATATACGCCACAACACCATCATTTTGATTAAGGAGATTAGCTGTTAGACTAGATGAGTAGCCTTTAAGCAAGGGTATTGGTTTATCTTTATCCAACCTACATTCGGTAAGTATAATTATATCTGTATTGAAATTCAGTGTTGAGAGTGCAATTTGCAGGTCATCGAAATTACGATAGATACTTCTTATATTCTGTGTAATCACCGTTAAGTCATTTCCTTTAATTTTTACATGTTTAGTTAAATCGTCTACATTACATTGAAAAGAATTTGCCATGGCAGAAGCATCCAATTCATTTTGATTTATTAATGTATTATCCATACCAGAAAATATTATTTTTATGATTTACGTTTGAAGATGGGGTTATTTTAAGTATTTGTATAAACGGTGAGTAAGTCTTATTGAATATGTCGATGTGAAATTGTTTAAAAATAAGTGTAAGACATGTGTATGTGTGAATGTATGAGGTAGTTGGTCGACAGTCGTATTCAGTGTAATGTGTAATGTGTGTGTAGTAATATTTATATAGGTGAAACACAAGGAAGTAAGTTGAAAGCAAAAATAAAAACAAAGACAAAAACAAAAACACTAGGACTCCAGGTACAATGCAAAATGGAAAATGATCTAGTCATATTTGTATCAGGTGGTGAAAAGTATATATAGTATAAGTATATATATAAGTAAATATAACCTCCTTAATGAAAATCAATGTGGCTTTCGCAAAAATCGGTCCACCACTATTGCTGTTTTTAAACATGTTCAGGAGATATATAATCATATCAGAAATACTAATTATGCCGTAGGACTGCTGCTCGACATGTCCAAAGCATATGATAATGTCCAGCATAGTATTTTGCTTGAAAAAATGCACGGTATGGGTATTCGTGGCAGAACTTACAAATGGTTGACATCTTACCTTACAAACAGACAACACAACATACAGACAACGTACAAATTGAACATTATGATGATATAACTGGGGAGATCCAAAGCGTTCAGTCTGATCCCCTTACTACAAACTGCTCCATACCACAAGGTAGCGTAACTGGATGTCTCTTGTTTCTTATGTATATAAATGAACTCCCGAAACTCTGTAAACCACTTTGCGTCCTATTCGCAGATGATGTGTCTACTATTTAAATGTCCTAAACAAGATGTCGCGTATACAAATAATGAAATAATAAATACCTTCCGATCCGTTCAAAACTGGTTAACAGATCATAACCTCCAAATAAATAATAATAAAACAAAACTAATCCAATTCAGACCAGATACAACCTTTAAATTTGAATACATTAACCAACGCTTTGAATATTAAAGAAGTTAAAGATTGTAGTATGTTGGGAATAACTATAGACACTAATTTAAATTGGACCAAACATATTGCAAAAATAAAAACTCAACTATCGCAGTTCATTTACGCCTTAAGTTTACTGAAACAAAATACAGACATCGATTGTGCCTTGACTACATATTATGCGTATGCGAACGCCTGTTCCGCTACGGAATTATCCTGTGGGGACACACTCATGAGGCGCAAAAGATATTCATATTACAGAAAAAGTGTCTTAGGATAATCCTAAACCTACGCCATGGAGATAGCTGTAAATCTTTCTTCATAAAGTATCACATACTAACTCTTCCGTGTTTGTATATACTCGAAATAGCGACATTTGTTAGAAAGAATATAAACATCTTTGAACATGTCAGAAGTGAACGTAGACAGCATAAGCTAGTACCTCCATCGCCTACACTTGCAATTTTCAAAAATAGCCCTTATTACAGAGCAATAGCAATATATAATATGGTACCTAGTAATATTACTTCAGAAAGACGAAAAGCTGTTTTACAACTAATTGAAAAACCTCCTCATACAAAAGTGTTATTATGCAATACAAGATTTTGTTGAAGACAAAGAACTCTAATCACTCCATTTTAAGCTCTACAATTATAATAATTAGTATATGGATTCATTATTTAATTGTTACTACATCACTTAATTAAGATATTTTATTATTTAAGAGAACTTAATACATACTTTTATTATTTAATTTATTTTTCAACTATTAATTATTTGTAAGTTTAATAATTTGCATGTCTAAGTATATTTTTAAGTCTTAGCTACGCCCTTACAGGGCACATGTAATGTAATTTTATTGCATGTTCGCTAATAAATAAATACTGAATACTGACTACTGAACATTTGGGTGTGAAAAAGCTGTGCTCTCGGTGGATCCCACATATTTCATTGAGGCTCAAAAAACGGATCGCATCACTTGGTGCAATGCCATGCTTACCAGATTCAACGAAGGGGCGTCAAATTTGGTGTGGGACATAGTAACAGGTGACGAAACATGGATTTATAGTTACGATCCCAAAACAAAGCAGCAATCGCGCGTATGGGTCTTTCGAGATGAGCCGAAACCAACCAAAGTGGCGCCCGTACAAAGTGCCTCTAAGCGGATGATTGCTTCTTTTTTTAAATAAAACTGGGCACGTTGCTTTGGAGAATCGATGTACCGTGTATAGTGATTGGTACATGACCATTTGTTTGCCGGAAGTTATTGACAAACTCCGTCAAAATAACCGTAAACGGCATATCATCTTGCACCACGATAAAGCCGGTTCTCACACGGCCAGACAGATAAATTATTTATTGAAAGTGAACAACGTTGACCTTATGAGCCATCCCGCGTACAGTCCCGACTTTTATTCATTTCCAAAAATTAAGAACCAGTTACGCGGTCTACGATTTTCATCACCTGAAAAGTCTGTCGAAGAGTATGAAAATTTTGTCGAGATTGTACAGGAGGAGTGGCATAAATGTTTTCAAAATTGGTTCATTCATATGAAAAAGTGCATTAACGCTAATGGAGAATATTTTGAGAAACAATAAAGTCATTTCTGACCATTTATAGTATATTTTTCTTATTCATTCCGGAAACCAAATATGCGCTCCACTTACATATAACTCCTAGGCATATGGGAGTGATTATATGCTTTGAAATCATATAAAATATCAAGATCATTATATATAAGATCATTTCACACTCGTAATTTATGGCCTTGGCTTTTGTGAACTCCAAGAGTATTTTTCTCTTATCTTCGTGTAGAGGTCGCGGCGGTACTTACAAGTCCTGCAGCTTGAAGATGGGCACGAAAGCTTCCATATCGATGTGCTCGATCTCGTTGCCTTCAACGTTTCTGCAAATGAAATTTTCGTTATAGACAGTTGAACGGTCATTACGGCCCAATAGCGCGAGCAGGACTTAAAAGAGTCGTCGCCACGCAAAACCAGAGGAGTTTTATGTAGCGCCTCGCGCTAAGTAATTCGATTCGAGGAAGCCAGTCGACAGGTCGCCTTTGACGCCGCACAGTTAGTTAATCGTAGATGTTTGAACATTCCGTAAACTTGAAACGGCACGGGGCGCCGGGAAGGCGCGCGGCGCGGGCAGGGGCTCGCAATGGCGGTGCGGGGAGGCGGGGCGCGGGGCGCGGGGCGCGGGGCGGGGACCGGCGACAGATTGCCTCTTGATGTCTGGCGAGAAGTGGCGAGTACTTCCGGTGGCGGCGGCGGCGCTCCAGTTGGCGTAAGAGGTACATGGGGCGTCGCAGTCGACGGAGCCGTCCGGACATTCGCTCCAGGAGGACGGCGCGGCCCAATTCTCTGGCAGCTATTTCAAGATTGTTCGCAGCTGCTCACGCTCTTGGCTGATGAATTATTTCGTTGCCGACTACATTACCGGTTATAATAAGAACTAATTGCTTATTTGAGTCACATGAAGTCCCGAAGTATACGTAATTTGAGTATGAAAAGTTTGAACACGATATGATGATCCACGTACTAATAATACAAGGGAATACATATTTTGGTGTTGATGTTTATTTACATCACACATGGTAAAGATGCGACGCGTCCAATTAATAAATTGGAGCAAAGGCGAAGTGATAGTAATGTCTCACAGAATTTGCAAGTCTGGGTTGTGCCGGAAGGCGTGTCGGGGCAGGCGACGCAGGCGGTTGTGCGCTAGCAGCAGATCTTGCAAGTGGCCCAACCCCAGCAGCGCCGATTCCTCCTCCGCTCCATCGTCGCCCTCCTCTTCCGCCGACAGAGTCGCGATCTCATTCGACGACAGATCCCTGCGGAGACAAGACAATCACTTACACGCGCGGGGTGTGCGGTGCGGGGGGGTCGAGTACTTACAGCACCCGTAACTCGGCGCAGGCGCGCAGGTCGGGCACGCGTCGCAGCCGGTTCAGCTTCAGGTCCCTGCAACACAGCGCGGGTCAGCACGGGTTAGCACGGGTCGGCACGGGCCACGGCGGGCGGGCGACAGGCTCGCGGCCAGCGTACGTACAGCGTGCGCAGCTGCGGCGCGTGCGCGCACAGCGAAGCGGGCAGGTGCGTGAGGCGCGCGCGGTCGGCGCGCAGCGTGCGCAGGCGCAGCGAGCCGTTGAGTACTGGTATCGCTGTCAGGCCCCGCGCCTCAGACATCAATCTGCGCAAGCGACTCCTTCGGTTAATAAGTATTGAGTATTGTGCTAAGGTGTGTTCCAGCAAAGTACTATTAGTTATGTGTTCGCGCCAACGCTGCGTCGAAAATAACGCGTCATCGGGCTTATATAAGCGGTACCCACTAGGGCTGCTCTTTCTCAACTCTCACCTTCGCCAATAAACAGCACCGTTCGTAACATAAAATATGCTAATTGAAACATTTTTGAAGTTTCAATAAAAGTTCCGGTACATTATTGTTGCGACTTTCTTATCCATTCTGTCCAGTTTCTGAAAATCTTACCATGTTCGCCATATTATGCTCCATCACTTCGAGAAAGGTTGAAATGCAGCGCAATCATTTCACGAACATTATAGCCAAGGAACAATCAGCAAAGTCGAGTTGAAAGATGGTTCAAGAAGTTCAAGCAAGAGACGAAGAGCGTCCTCCTCGTCCCCATCAAATTTTCACGCCCAGATAATCGTTCGGAAAAGTATGGAAATTGGCTGGAGAGGTTCACCACAAACTCCGACAGCCAATAAGCCGGTTTGCTACAACGACACTAGGAAACTGGCAAAAAACCCAACCAAACGTAAACGTAAAATTACTGCCTATATAAATGCCAAACATTAAAAACCTGACATTTAAAAAATTGACAATTGAATTGTATAAATATTTAATTATTAGGAAATATTATAGTGCAAATGAATACTTAGAACAATAGATTTTGCATGCTTTATATGTTGGCAATAGATGAACCTTAATTTAATAAGTGCCATCTTGTAAACCTATTCAACGCAAATGAACATTTCATTTCATTTCATAATTATCGCAAGTGATTGCATTAATGAATAATTTAATTAAATTTCTCTAATTGAGTCACTTCGATACGATGAATTGTCTCCAGTGAAAAGATAAAATTCGAACAAAACAAGATTTATTAGCTACTCCATCATGTCTCAAATAAGTGCGAGGACGTTTTCTAAGAATAGTATTACAGAAATTTGTTATACTGGGTAAAAATATTAATACATTTTGTAGGCTTGTTAGGCCGCTATCAAAAGCACTTTTTATTACTTGAATGTTGCTATTGAAGCGGTTAACTCACGGGCGAGCTCGTGCTGCGCCGCTTCGACCTATTTCGTTCCAAATATTAATATACGGTTATGAAAGATTTAACCTATTTAAGCGCAAAGTCTTCTGTCGTGCTCGCAAATGCATCGTCGATCATGGGTGATAAAATGTTGTCTCCGATGCCTGTAACGGAGCTGGCTTTGCTTCAAGCCAGAACACTGGGCAGTGCTGCTGTGCAAATAAGTAGGGTCACTTGCACACATTTCATTGAATGTGCCTGAATCTACGTGGGTTCGTGCAGTGTAGTCTAGCTAAGCACTTAAATTTATTGACTTGAAGGATATTTTGTTAGTCCAGAAACAGTCAAATGTTAATCGGTTCTCCCCAGTGTAAAATTGTTTAATGAATTATGCTTCTCTAAGTACTAGTTCAGCGAGGCAGCAGCCCAAATGGCCTCCTTAGTGCCCTTGCATGCAGCGTTCATCTCGCAGTGAATTTTCTTACTTACCGAAAGTAAATCTTATGATTATCATCGTATTATGACTAACGATAAATTTAGTTACAATGCTATTTTTTTATAATATCAAGTGACGGGACGTACAAGTCGCGCGCCTGAAGGTAAGCGACACGCCTGTCCATAACAGTTGCAGTGCCGCTCAGAGCTTTCAATCGCAAAGTTTTGAGGGGCATTGCCACTGATGCGTCCGACACGCTGAGACATAAGTTGACAAGTCCCATGTGCCTGTAATTTTACCAGCACCCTTACCCTTCAAAACTGGAACATATAAATGGTAATATTACTTGGCGGCTAGTAGGTAGGTACCTCCCTAGACGAATTCTTTCACAAGAAGCTCTAGTGCTACTAACATTATAGACACAAACGTCGAAATAAATGATTATTATATGTATAATATGGGATTCCTTCTTTCTTATTAGTCGATAATTATTTGTCGTAATTTGTGTCGCGGAAGTATTTTCCTTAGAATCTGGACTTCGTTAATCTGAACGGAGGCAAATTAGAATTTACTATTTTCTACGGACAGTAGGTGAAGGTCAGCGGTCGCGAGAGTAGCTCAGGACTTGATTTTGTGCGCTCGTCCGCGATTCGCCGTTTAGATATTAGTCACCCGCAGATACACGCTTCGTTTTCGTTTACATATTCAGGTGCATACATTTGGCACTTGGTAGGGTAACTTTAGAAAAGTTACAAATAACGTAACTAGCGAAGTATTCGGATGTTGCTCTATTAAAGCATTGGCAGCGGCGGTAAAAGTCAAGACGCAATAAAAAGTCGGTAACATGTAATGCCCGTTTTAGTCAATCGAGCGCCGAGGGGCGCGAGGAAGACGGTCAGTTGGAAATTACGTTGCGGGAAAAATTGAGCCGCGGTCGTTTCAGTTTATGAGATTGCGTCGCGACGGGCGGCGAGGGTCGAATCGAAGCCGCAGGGCCGGGCCGGGCCGGTCCGCGCCGCCGCCGCCGGGCCCGGTGCCGGCAATCACGGCGCGGCGACGGCGGCGGCGGCGCGCTCCGGCCACAACCTCCCACGCGCTCAATCGCAACACGAACGCCTTTGCGTTTCACATTCGTAAGTACATCGTGTATTGTGTACATAGACAATACTTGGGGTGTTCCATAAATCCTTCTCGAATCCTATAAAATAATTAAGTGACGCGAAGTGGCGTGAAGCGAAGTGAGAGAAAAAAATGTACAAGCGGGAATTTTGTTTAGAATGCGGCGGCGATTCATAAAAAAATATGTAAAAAACACACGCTTGGCCATAATCTCATTTAATGCCAAGAGACGACGTGATCGACGATTGTACAACACGTACAATCGTCGATCTAAGAAATGCCTATCATTCAGCTTGCCTCGAGTCAGTATAATCTAATATTATACTTGTCAGGAAACTATTCCTGTATGTATTCCATTCCTTTGCCGGGTAAATTTCACTTTCAGAATTAAAATGGCACTTTTTGAGTGGTTTTTGTAAAAACCTTTTTTGGTTTCTTTCGGCCTTAAACCTACAAATAAGTAGAAATAAAGTTATTGATTATAACATCACTCCAATATTTACGTGAAATAAACAAAAAACGGTATTTTACGTCCCACGTATCAGATTGCGGTAACACGAACAATTCATATTTGCACATGTTTTTGCAAGAAAGGGGATGAATCCGGTGTCGGGCACTTTCCGTTAACCGACGTCTATAAAACTTGGCAAACAGATGTAATTCCGTTAAAAAGCCCATAAGCAAACTTTGCAGGTAGGTTTTGTTTAAATAAAAAAATTAGTTAATGGTCTGTAGCATAAATGCTACAGACCATTGCGACAAGTGCTCCCCTAGTCTAATCTAATTTATGCACAACAAACTGTATAAGACTGTAACATAACACTTATTTAGATAGATCGCCTTACACTAATGAGAAAGATTTTGTTACAAACACTAAAACTGGTACCTATTTAACTTGTACCAGTGCTCCAGTTGTACCTTTTATTTACTGTTCATTTACTTCCAATATTTGTATATGTTCCTGTGCTCATCAAAAGAATAAATTAATTTTATATATAAAGTTGATCCTTCCGGGAATCGAACCCGGGACCTCCTCGTCTCATACCCACAGTACAAACCGTTGTGCTACCAAAATCTCTCTCTCTCTCATCTTAGCGTTGTCCCGGTTGCGTCCTCAGCAGGGTTGCTGCGGAGCCCGGGGTCCGCTTTCCTACTCTTTCTCCTCCACTTTGCACGGTCTTCGGCATCCTTAGTGGTGAGACCATTGGCACGCATATCACCCTTGGCGACGTCAAGCCAGCACTTCTTGGGTCTGCCCCTTCTACCGGGGCCCGGCGGAGGTGGCATAGCCAGACATTTGTTTCCCACGTAGCAAGCCGGTTTCCGTAAGATGTGGCCGTACCAACGTAGGCGGCTTTCTTGCAGTTTATCTGCAATGTCACGGACATGAAGGCTGCCGCGGATGCGGGAGTTTCTGACACGGTCTTTCCGTGAAACTCCACACATCCAGCGCAGCATCTTCATTTCCGTGACACGCAGCTCCTGCTTATGACGCTCAAGTACGGGCCACGTTTCACTGCCATATAAAAGGACAGGCCTAATGATGGATTTATAGACCTGTCCTTTCAGCTTAACCGGCATCTTGGGGTCACAAATTACACCAGTCACCTCACGCCACTTTGCCCAAGCGGCTGCGATTCGGGCTCTGACGTCGCAGTCGATGTCTCCGGACGCGCTAAGTACAGATCCCAAGTATTTAAACTGGCCCGTAGGCTCGACCGCGTCTTCGCCTATGCGTACGGGTAGGGGATCTGTAGCGTTGCAGACCATGTACTCAGTCTTCGCCACATTTAGTCTCAAACCGCCGTTCTCAAGCGACTCCTTCCACACATTCACTCGTCGTACCAGTCTCCCTCTATCCGCATCCGCCAGCGCGATATCGTCAGCGTACATAAGCATCCACGGGGGTTGCTCATGCGTGTCTCGGATGGAGCTTGAGACCTCGTCTAATATCACGCTGAACAGATAGGGACTGAGAACTGAGCCCTGGTGAACTCCGACTGTGACAGGGAAGGGTTTAGTGTCACCAACATCAGTCCTAACCATGGATTCGGAATCGCGGTACATGTCTCGGATGATGTCAATATAAGCTTCTGGTACCCCTTTGGATCTCAGTGCCCACCAGATCATTACACGGGGGATACAGTCGAAGGCCTTCTGCATGTCAAGAAACATGAAATGCAGAGGCGTATTCTTCAATCTGTATTTCTCCATGATGACCCTTAGGGCAAAAACAGGATCCATGGTCCCAAGACCAGGCCGAAACCCATATTGACCCTCCGAGACAGCACTCTCCTGTCGGATCCGAGAGTCTATTATACGCTCGAAGAGCTTCATGGTGTGGGACATGACCTTTATGCCCCGATAATCGCCACACTCCTGCACCGATCCCTTCCCTTTGAAGACTGGAGTGATAATACTCAGTCTCCATTGGTTAGGGATTTTACCGGTGAGGAGCACGCGATTAAAGAGGCCGGTAAGGATGCCCACACCACGGGGACCCATTGCCTTCCAGGCCTCGATGGGAACCCCATCGGCTCCGACAGCTTTCCGATTCTTCATGCGACGAAGAGCTAAGTGGACTTCCTCAGGCGTTACCGGTCGCACTAGTCCCTGATTCGGAGGGAGGATCGGTGGCTGCACCTCTCTGTGCTGCTGATTCAGCAGCTCGTGGAAATATGAGCGCCATCTCTCCTTCACCGCGTCGACCTCGCATATAAGGTTGCCATGAGGGTCTTTAATGCAGCGACACTTGGAAATATCTTGTGCCGCTAAGACCCTCGAACGTGCCAGCTTAAAGATAAGCTTCTGCCCCTCAGACGATTCCAACTTGTCATACAACGGCTGCAAGTGGTCCCGTCTGGCTCTGGCTACAGCTTTCTTAGCGGCACGTTTGGCATCCCTATATGCGTCGCGGTCTTCAGAAGATTCGGACGCTTGCCACGTTTTGAAGAGGGCTTTCTTCACCCTCACCTCCCTCTGGACTGTGTCGTTCCACCACCAAGTTTCTTTGTCACATTTGCGACCACCCTTGGACAAGCCCAGCACCGCTTTCGCCGCCTCAGATATGGCAGCCTGAATGTTGTCCCAGTGGTTCTGGACTAGATCACCTTCAGTGTCGGCGCATTTATCGCCGATCGCTGAGATGAACTCCTGGGACGTGGTACTATCAAGCCGCCACCATCTGATTTGGCGTCGGCAGCGCTCAGCGGGCTTGTCGGCCGGCTTTACGCAGAGATCTATGACAAGAAGACGGTGTTGCGCAGTGAGACTCTCACCTGGTATGACCTTGCAGTTGGTCACTTTGCTGATATGGTGTCTCCTGGTGAGTAGGAAATCGATTTGGGTGGCGTGTCCGCCGCTCTTATAGGTGATTAAATGCTCGGGGTTCTTTTTAAAGAACGTGTTCACGATGGCGAGATCGGCCGCCGCACACGTTGTGAGGATGTCTCCTCCCTCCGCGTTGCGACTGCCGTACCCGTAGCCACCGTGGATCCGCTCGAACCCTTCACACGCCTCACCCACATGACCGTTCAGGTCGCCACCCAAGACGACTGCCTGAGACAAAGGAATGGCACTCAGCACTTCCCCGAGTTGATCCCAGAACCTCGCCCTGTCCGTGTCGCTGCAACCGGCCTGAGGTGCGTAGGCGCCTATCAAGTGGGTCACGACCCCTTCGATAAGCACCCTCACTACCATAAGCCGGTCGCTAAAGCGTTTCACTTCCAGGACGTGATCGTGAAACTCCTCGGAGAGCACCACGGCCACCCCGTTCACGCCCCCAGGAGCACCGGTGTAGATCAGCTTGTAGCCATTCCCAATGAGCCGGGATCTGCTGCCTTTCCACCGAGTCTCCTGCAGGAACGCCACGGCGACCCTCCGCCTGGAAAGCACGTCTGCTAGCTCCCTCGCGCGTCCAGTCAGCGTGCCAATGTTCCACGTGGCAAAGCGGAGCTTCCTGTGATGGGTAGGGGCTCGCCTCTTTAACCGTGCCCACCCTTGACACGGTAGCCCTAGTCCACTTGCCACAGAAGTCGGGCGAGGCTCCTGCGCGCCGTTTTGCGGCGGCGCCCTATCCCTATGCCATATCCTTCTGTTGACTTCCATAAGTTGATGTGGCGGTGTTGGTTTTTACGGGAGCGACTGCCGTCTGACCTCCCAACCCCCGAAAGGGAAAACCCCTCGCTAGAGCCTCGTCCGTCTATCAGCAGGCGCACCACTTGCAGGTGAGGTTAGCTTGGGCTCCAAGATGTAGGTGGAGCCCCCAAAACGCCCCGTTGTGCTACCAAAATCGTCGAGTTATATTCCTATCATGAAAACCTAAGAACACGATTATCATGAATTTATTGAACCAACATAGGCAATAAGACCTCCGTGGCCGAACGCTACGCAGAGGTCTCGGGTTCGTTTCCGGGCTGGGAGAAATATTTTAAAGCCTACATTACTTCTTTCATGAGTTTCGTGTGATTGTCTATGTGTAACCCAAGATACAGGGTTTCCTAGGCGCTTGATATTATTATTATAAGATAAACAACATCAACTACAACAACACCGTTCCGTGGTCTCTGCCTACCCTTCCCGTGGGACAAGGGCGTGAGCTTATGTATGTAGATAAATAAGGAATATTTGAAATCTCTAGTTATAGTTCGAATGCGTATAATATAAAAAGTCTTCTTTGAATATAAATAATGATCAGTTTTTATAACGTTTGTTGAATGGATAGTTACATAAAAATGAATGTAGCAACGGAAAGAGATTTGTAATCTGCATTTTTGTGCACTCCTCGTTCTGTCGATGGCTTTAGTCGACGACATCTCTGACAAGGGGTAAGTGTGGCTAGGGAAATTGCGATTTTACAATTAGGGACATGGAAAAAATATCGATACTTTTTGGTATCGAGTTCTTCTCCTTCCGATACTGGTACTTTTGTACTGGATACTTTTCAGGTATTAGTACTTTTTTTTCGTATCGTTTTGAATAATACCTACCTAGGACACCTTATATCATAGCACAAGACACCCCGCGATTTATTTAGATGCCATCTTTCATTCCAAATGACTTGGCTGCATAGTGTATGCCACCATTTATAAGAATGAGAAAGAAGAAAAATAATTAGGAACATTTGAATTAACATACCTGATAAACATTATATTTCAGTAGTTCTTATAATAATTTTCATTTGACATTGAATGTGTGCGTTCGTACACGTATGACCGACAAAAACTATAACATACACAAGCGACAGCAGGCACGATGCAGGCACGTGAACGTCTCGGATGTTAAAAGCAATTCAGAAAAACTTATCCAGTAACTTATGTGTTTAGGAAAATAGCGGGTTTTGTCACAGCTTTTACAAGATTTCGTTTTTAGTTTAAGAGTAAAAAGAGACAACCAGTCAAGAGACCTTCCGTAGTCTTAATAATCGGGCAACAAACCACTGTTTCAGCAAGTTTTATTTCGTATAATATTACGATAATAAATTAAATTGAATATGTACACAGGGATGTTGAGTTAGTACGTGACTTTAAAGCTTTTCTGGCGCAGTGTGCCTTTATTCTGATTTATTATTGAACTACTGAACGGTTTGCTTTTAATGTGAAAATAAACCATTTATGCATGTAAAAAATAATGATTTAATCATGAAAATCAGAATGTCACACGGCACCTTGAAATACCTTATAAAATTAGAAATAGTTGAAACAAAAACGTAAGTTGATTACTGACAGCGTTTCGAGATTAGGCAGACGGTCGAGACTGCGCGGGTGCAAGCTCGACAGCGGGTTGCGGCGCAGGTCGAGCCACGCCAGTCGGCCGCAGCCTGCCAGCGTCTCCGGCCCCGCCCACTCCACGCGGTTGCCGCCCGCCCACCTGCGCACACGCACCTAGTGTTGTAAAAAACCGTTTTTTTTCTGATGAGAAAAAAATAACAATGAAAAGAAGCGGTTTTTTTCTGGAGTACGTTTTTTTCTAAAAGTGTGAAAATTAAAATATGACAATTGTATTTTTTTACTACATTTCCTCTTTTGTTGTTAATCGTAGAGGGAGAATTGGGTAGAGAGTCTATATAAATAATAAAAACCGTATAAGCGAGATAGATTTATGCACAGACATATTAGAGAAAACGAGACAACAATATAATTTTTTGTCCCTTTCTACGTATGCGGTTTTGGTTGTATGACTCATCCCTCGTTGAGTCCAGCAAATCCTTCCGAGTGTTTGATGTGCATCGATTTTATGTGTTTGGGCTTTTAAGAAGTGTTTTACAAAGTTACTAACCGTTCCTTTGTAGTAATTGACAATGATTGCAGCTCACAATAATGGTGCATTGTTATATTTTAAGCTGTAAAAGCCGTAAAACATGAAAAATTCCCAAAATAACACGTAAGTTTTAATCTTTCATTACAATCAATGAATTTTCTTGTATGAATTACTAGTGAAATACTCTTACAAGCCTAGAATATTACAATTTCATGTATTTTAGATGATATTTGAAGTGTTTATCTCGATTGAAAGATTTTTGTTTGCATCGTATAAAACTCCTAAAATACGGAGAATATCTTACTTTTGTCAAATATGTCCATCTCGCTTCTACCAGCAGTGGTTATGATACGCGAGAAAGAGACCAAATAAATAACGTATAAATTAAATTAGACAGGCTTAAGCTGATTTTACGGATATCGTGCTTTTGCCACTATCTTTTCCCCAATTTATGGGTAATTTTAAATAGTGTTTTTTTTACTTTTTAATACTTTTTCAGTTCGAAATATGTATACAAAGTTAATACTGTTCAAGGGCCAATAAAAAAAGTAATGATTTGTCATAATTGTTTTATTTGGTTACTAAAACTCAACCAAGTTAAATGCGGTCTGGCGGACTCTCCCTCCTTAGACTCGGCAGATTTCATTATCATCATGAACCCATTTATACGTCCCACTGCTGGGCACGGGTCTCCTCTCTTTTTTTTAAATCTATTGATTGCTGTTGCTGTTGTTTGTCGCTACTTTGATGATTACTGAAAAACACTACTTATTTATTTATCTAAGAGCGATATCAATATTTTTTTCTACATCGCACATATCCCTTATATGGCAACATTTACATAGAATTATTAGCAAGCCGCTTATATAAAATTATTCGGCAGGATTTGAATGCAGGAAACGAAGACACAGAGTATTTTGATGAAATTACAAGCGTGGGTAACACCTATAACAGTAGTAACACTAGAAACACCACAAATGAAGATTAAATTTTTGTCGTCATTATCATGGTAATTGATTTTTATAAACATGTTATATACATATGTATATATGTGTTTTATATATATATATATTTATATATATAACATATATATGTATACTATATATATATTCTTAAAACAGAAGTTAGTGTCATATTTTATTTCAGTTACTCCATTTTATTTTTTCTGTAAAAAAAACCAAATTTAGAAAAATACCAGGGAGCTGTGCCTTTTACATGTTTTTTTTCAAAAATGAGAAAAAAAACATTTGGTTTTTTTTTTTCAAGTTACAACACTACACGCAACACATTCTTTCAGTTGTATAAGTGCTCAAACGTTAGATCAACTACAATGAGGATGTCACAGTAGAACACGTGTCATTTTTATTTGTTCCTTTGGCGATAGGTGATGCACTAAACCATATTATGTGATAAACGCAAACACAACATGTACATTACGACATCCATATTGCAATTGATCTCTGGCCAAAGTCGCTCCTCACCGGCGGCATTCGCCCGTAATGTCACTTTTCAACATTCCATTTTGAGTATTACGTTAAAATAGTGCCTCACTAACTGACGAGCTTTCGCCTGCAGTCGAATCAGTTGTTTTTACAATGTCAGACGAAACGGACAATTGAACCCAACAATCCTGTTTTATTAACTTATTATAGTGTTGAATATGACGAGGATCCTATTGTACCCCGAATTCCCTTTCGTTTTCAATTAATAGGGTTTTCTCTGTATCTCAGGCGATTTTTAAATATAACTTCGAAAGCAAAAAACGATATCACGAACAGGTGCGTTCACGCCGTTGCCGTCTAGGTCACTAAGCCTGGGCCGCGACACGGTCGTGACAAGTGGTGCTCTCATTCACTACTGTAATATTACAAACTGGACCATTACAGGTTGCGTACTGTAATTCTCGGATCTTCTCACATACTGATGTAATGCTTGAATTTAAACTGTTACATTAAAGGCGAAGCTCCCGGTGAGGAAGAGCGCCCTCAAAACCAACGCGCAAGCTTTGGCTGGCTGTCGTAGCAGCGTAGCGCGTTCTACGGGCTACGCTGCTACGAAACATCCGTCCGAAACAATTACTGTCAAATATGTAGTACTCGACGAAATAAAAACACGTATGATGCGAACGAAGCTTCATACTTGACATTGTGTTTTGACTTGGTCGAGTTACTTATTTGATAGATGTCATTGCTTCGGACAGATGTCGGACGGGGAACGGGAGAAGATTTCGACCAGGCTCGGGTCGCGGCACTCACAGGTCTTCGAGTTGCGGCAGCAGCTGCAGCGCCGCCGGCAGTTCCGTCAGAAGGTTATCCTCCAACCGCCTGCACACACATTAAGTTATCACTTGTTATTACCGCGCCAGAAATTTACCTACGCCTACTAGGTAGTGAAGAGTAAAAAAGGTTCAAAATAGTCTGAGTTAGTATTGGAATAGTGTAACCAATGACGTTAAACGCTGGGTGCATTTCCATGTGATTACAAATTTAAAGGAGTTGCAAGGGGGCCCCTTGGCCCTCCCCCTCCCCTTGCCGCAGGGGCATGGGGAGGGGGAGGGCCATTCAGCGATGTTGGTGCGATTTGCGATAGATGAGGCGACATACCTGCGTCGCGAAATTTGTTTTTACTTGATGGACCGAGTGACCATTTCAATCGTTTAACAATTATATAAAGGTGAAATAGTGATTTTCTTTTTTTTATTTACCGAGATTATGATTCTCTGGTTGCTCATTGTGTTACAAGGGCGGTAAGTAGGCAATTACGAACTGCGGACGACGACTTTTATGGCCCGAACTTCTTAATTGCTGTTCCGCCTGTGGGCATGCAATGGTTCTCATCACACTGGCGAGGAAGTTACATCAAATTCTTCTAAATTTATATATGCAATAGTATCTAGGAGTAAGTACCAATTCAATATGATAAATAAAATAAAGCTGACTGTATTTAAATTCGTTTTAATAGATAAATTCAATATTGTCTTTGATTTTTGAGGTCGCAGTGTCGGCACTCCTAAAGGGCGGGGGTCGGCGCTCCTAAACTCACGATCGTACGCAAACTGCAGAGCGATTTCGTGATTTGTTAATATATTCATACCCCTACGCTTTATTAATAATATCTACCCATCCACCTTAGGCAATTTCTAGTGAACAAATATTGTGAATTGTCAACGTTAACATTAAAAAGGGAAACATTGCTGTTAAAAATATATTGTTAAAACAAAACAGTGCTCGTGGAATCGAACCACGGATATTGTACTGTTGTGGTAGTTAAAAGACGAAATTTAGCATTGGTTTCAAAGATATGTTGATTATCTTCAAGTAACACTTCACTGTATTGCTTACACAAATTGCTTTAATTTTTTCTTTGTTCAATGCGTAAGATGGCTCTCAGAAAAAAAAAAGGTCGGTTTGGGCATGTTAGGGGGTCAGATATCTCATGTATATGACTGTACTTGGGGTATTGAGGTGAAATTGTAGTATTGGACTCTCATAAGTTAATTAATCAAAGTCAATTGTTCTCTACTAGTGACAGAAAATACTTATTAGTTTACAGTAACTCTTTGTAGTTGTATGATGTATTATAGAAGTAAATAAATAAATAATTAAAAGTAAACTTACAGCACGCGCAGTGCAGGCACGCCGGTGAATGCGCGTGGTTCCACATGCGAGATGCGGTTGTGCCGCAGCAGCCTGCGCATACGCACGTATAATAAATATTTGGAAATTATTCGGTAAAAGTATCCCGAAGAACGAAGACTTATATTTACGTTTAAAACAAGCTACTGCTATTATTTTAGTAATTATTTACTGAATTTTCAATAGTTTTACAATGGTGAATAAATCAAAGATTTTGCAGGATGTGTTAATTCAATATTATTGTTGTTAGTTTGTTAGTTTAGTTGTTACTTTGATCTAGTAAGCAAATGGTCCTAAATAACGAAAAAACGAAACTGTTACATATACACTCGTGTCGCAATAAAACGGTAAGTTCTGTTTCGAACACAGGACATAGTCACCAATGCTTGCACGCAAAATCGACTGACGTACAATGCAAGCGCGTGCAGCTACAGCAGGTAACAGAACTAAAATATCTGGGTGTCATGATTGATAATAATTTTACCTGGGGTCCTCACAAAATTGGGTTTGCAACAGATTACGAGTTATAGTGGCAAAATTTTACATCATCCGTAATAGAATACCTTTTAATATTAGAATCACAATGTATACAGCACTGGCTGAAAGTATAATATCATATGGATTAACGTCCTATGGCCGTACATTTTCGTCTCATTTAGAGCAAATATATAGACTGCAACTGAGACTATTTAAAATGATACTACCCTACAATGTTAAAAATAAAATAACCAATGATAACGAAATATTGAACTATTGTAAAATTATCATTATTCATGAAAAATTTAGACTCCAAATTTTAAAAGAACAATACTTTCGATCTGAAATTCTACATCCAATATCTCACAATATAATTACAAGACCAATAACCAAAACAATATTGCAAAAGCCTAAATTTAACAACTACTATGGTAAACGAACATCTAAATATATTGTACCACACAAATTAAACAATTACCTAAAGAAATTCGTGATCAAATCAATCCTAAGAATATCAAAATCATACTCAAAAGATATTATTCAACACACACAGAGATACATATTGTTCAGACACTAATTTTTGTCATTAAATTTCACTCCATAATTAATGTCTATTTACATATAGTAATAATACATATTATTTATAAATACTACATATACTATAAAATATATACATTTAAAATTAAACTTATTCTTTACTTAATGTGCTAACATTTGTTTTTGGGGCGTCCTGTACACTTGTTAACAAACCGGTTTCCGGACGGTTCGCTCAGTGTCTAGTCCAATAATAAAATACTTTGCCGTGGCGTCTTCACTGTTGTACAAATGTATGCCTCCAAATAAAGATAAAAACAATGTCTACCTATGTATAAGGTTTATTTTTTAATATTTTGTATTGGTTTGTTCGTAGCAAGGAATACAATACAATACAATACAAAAATTCTTTATTGTACACCAAAAAAGGAAACAAATACAATACAATTTAATTAAAAATAAGCGGTGGTACAATGGGCGGCCTTATCGCTTTAAGCGATTTCTGCCAGACAACCTTTGGATGGAAGTAATTATATAATTCACAGGAAAAAGACGGCGGTGTATGAAGAATTACTAATCAACAGATAAAAATTGATAAATAAATGCAAATATACATATATTTATAAATAAATAATAAAACCAATACATATACAGGGTGTCTCACGGCAGAGTTAGGATTTTGAAATGAAATAAAAGTCAATTTGCATATTATTGTGAAAAGATTTTTATTGAAAACTATTGAACTATAATGCGCATTTTATTTTTTAAAGATGACATCTTCCAAATGTCTTCCATTTCGTAGCACGCACTCACGGAATCGATTCATCGCATTTTGCATAACGCGCCTAAGCATAGCCGGCTCGATGTCGCGTATTTCTTGTTGGATATTTTGTTTTAGCTCAGCGATATTCCTCGGAGTATTGACGTAAACTTTACTCTTAAGGTACCCCCATAGGAAAAAGTCCATGGGGGTCAAATCTGGTGATCGCGGAGGCCACGCAATATCACCAAAGCGGGATATCAATTTTTGAGGAAACAATTCACGAAGTTGGTCCATAGTGGCTCTTGCAGTGTGGCAAGTGGCTCCATCCTGCTGAAACCACGTTCTTGAGCTGTAGGCTGGATGCTCTCGAAGTTGGGGTATAAAATAATTGGATATCATTTGCCGATAAGCCTCACCAGAAACAGTTATCGCAGCACCTGTCGCATTTTCAAAAAAATACGGCCCGATTATTCCATTGACCGAAAGAGCACACCACACTGTCACTTTTGGGCTATGCAGCGGTCTTTGATGTTTTTGTCTGGGATTGACTTGTGACCAAAAGCGACAATTTTGTTTGTTAACATATCCATTCAAATGGAAATGTGCTTCATCACTCCAAAACACAGTATTCAAAGTGCGAAATCTCTCAATGATTGTCTGGCAAAAACTTTTACGTAAATTGTAGTCATTTTCATTTATTTCCTGCACTATCTGTATTTTATAGGGATGGAATTTCAAATCACGTTTTAAAATCCGCTCTACGGTTGATTTGGTGACGTTTAAAGCCGCCGCTCTTTTGCGTATTGACAAGCGTGGATTACGTCGAACGCTAGCTGCAACTTCGTTTATTGTTTCTTCCGTTCTTGAAGTTCTGCTTGGGCCCGGACGCGGTTGATTTATAGCGGAACCGGTAGCTCGAAACTTGATAACCCATTTACGAATCAAATTTTCGCTTGGTCCATCGCGTAAACGTCTAATATTGTAGTGAGAACAAAACTGTCTTCGAGCCACGACGTACGATTCTCCACCTTTCAAAAACGCTTCGATAGCGAACGCGCGGTGCTCACCCGACCACTGCGACATCGTGACTAACAAATCCGCACGAATGACGAAGCTACTGCGTTCCTCCCCCCGCGCTTACTTGCAACGGTTTTTAAAATATTCAAATTTAAAATCCTAACTCTGCCGTGAGACACCCTGTATATGAATATCGTAAACTACTATATATTCTTATACTTATAAATATAAAAATTTCTAAAACGTAATTTCAAAACATAAAAATACCTAAGCAGTCCAGGTCACACTAAATTAAGGTAGTGTACTTTTACCATATGTTTGAATATATTCAATGATTTCGCTTGTTGAATAGACAAAGGTAAAGCGTTCCACAAACGAATAGCCTGAACAGTAAAGGACTTGTCGTAATACTGGGAGGTATGTAATGGCATCTTAAGTTGGAGAGTTGAAGAAGAGCGCAGAAGTCGGGGGTTGTATTGATGGGCGAATTCAAATCGCTCCTTAAGATAAGGTGGTGTGTGAGGAATGAATAAGATGCCATAGAGAAGATTAAGAATATGAGCATTACGGCGAAGTCTAATGGGTAACCACTTCAGCTCATTGCGATAAATGGAAACATGATCAAATTTCCTCAGACCATAAATGAAACGGATGCAAAAGTTTTGTAGACGTTCGAGTTTGTTGAGCTGTTCTTCGGTTAAATCCAGATAGCGGGCATCAGCATAATCAAGAATTGGAAGAAGAAGAGTTTGGGCAAGCGCAGTTTTCGTGGCAATAGGTAAAAAATTACGTAACCGTCTGAGAGATGCGGCAGACGCAAACAATTTGCGGCTGGTCTCAACTAATTGAGGTGCCCAAGATAGCTGCCTATCAATAAGTATACCTAGATTTTTTACGTACAAGGAATGAATGGCATCGATACAAACCCAAGTAGGGTTTAACCATATATACTAAATCTATGGGTTTAACGTGTTTTTCAATTATGTATATTTTTTGCTTAAAACAATAAAATAAATAAATAGTTAACTGCAAGCCTTCTTCAAAGTGAGTACGTAACGTGTCAGAGACAATGCAATTAGTCCTTGTAATTTTTTTAAGCCGCGAGTTGCAGCTCGAACGACACACCGCGATTTGAATCCGGAATAGTTTCATTTCCTATGTGTAATAATCGCGAAAACCTAAGAACTCGATAATATATTTGACTTCACGAATAGTGCCTATATTAGGTGTAAGAGTTGTGTCGAAGGACGGTTAATTTGTAGGTTATTGAAAAATTACTATATGTTGCCAAGGAGACTACACTTCCGCCTATAAGTATCCATCCAAAGTACTCGATTGAGAATCAAAATTTTTTTTGAGGAACATTTGTTGACCAGACGAGTCCAACTTCAGTACAACGGTTCTTATGCACAACCGCCACAATAATCCTATTTAGACTAAACAGAATTTCGTACGAATCCAGGAAACTAACAATCGAGTGCAGTTTCCGGGTTTTGTTAAACACCTTTACTCGAGAGCGGAGCGACGAAATTTAATTTTTCACGAAGATGAGGCTCCCGGTCGTAATAGCCGGACAACAGTTGAGTCTCAGTTGGTTTCTTTATTTAAATTAATAATTGCTTAATTTCACGGCGTTCCTTTAATATAGGTACTGTGCAATTAAGAAGCGATTTCATTAAAAGATGTTTTTATTTCTAAATAAGTTAGCATATTAGCATTCTTAATAGGATTAATCACGACGTGATTAAATTCATTCACGCCCAGGTGGAAACATGAGATCTTGTTTTTTTCAGTAATAATTACTCGTTATGGTTGACCTTTTCGATCTGTGCCAAGAAAATACAAAATAGTTTTTTCTCTTTTGGTCAAGCGTTGATTTATTGAAAATCTTTGTTTGCAACCTGTGACTAATGTTGAATAGTAAAACTAAGTTTCGATAAAAAAAATATGTAAAGACATGTGACGTTCTGTAGAAAGGCCGCGGAAGGCGGAGGCACATCACATTACATTTGCATACTCGCAAAAGGCGCGGAACGGCCTAGACAATGAGGCATTCGTACTGAAACACTTCTAGGGTGGCTGGAGACCCCAACACATTGCCCTGTCACTGAGATACCACGCCACGTTAGCCTGTATCCAATCCATTATGGGCGGCGAGCAGGCGGGTCGGCTGCCATCTAGAATATACACACCAGCCGCTGTCCAGACCCATTAGTCGCGTGCTACAGCACCCGAGGGAAAGAACAGGGTGTCCTATTTGAAATCGGGTGCTTGCCGGTGATATCGGCGGCGCCGCACATGGTGTAATCTGATTATAATACAGCTTCCCGGCACATAAATCTGCGCCAACCGCCCCCCGTCCCCCGCCCACCGCTCGCTGAGAAGGGTTGAGACCGAGTGTCACATTATTGCGAACTACAATTTCGTTAACTAGGTACGTAACTAAATAAAATGTAATGAAAAAAATTTATACTAAAACAGCTAAAATTTCTTTTATTACACAGTAAAAACTACAATAAGAAAAATCTAGTTGTTAATATACGGTGGTACACAGAGAACCAAGACCGTTAACGGATGTGGTGTTGATGACTGTGATGACTGATGCACGTCATCAGACTGCGTAAAATATATGTTATCTAGATAGATTTTTTTTGAAAAAATTCCCTTTCTTTCCTTTCCCTTTTCCTGGCTTTCACGATTTTAATCAGTAGGTTCAAATGAATTTACCTATAACTACTTTTGGGTAGTTTTACAATTACAAAATGAAATATTTATTCAATAGCGACTTGAACGTGTACCCAACCGTCGTACGGCGTCGGCTGCGACCGACGACGGCGTCGCGCCAATCGATGCCCTCGTACACAACCTATACCTACAGCTTTACTGTTTACACCACTATTGGAGCACAGACCGTGTTCCACTTGAAACACCCTGGCGCCCCTTTATGTTAATGTTCACGTCGTTGTCGTCGCCCCATTTTATAATACCTGTGCTTCGGTTCACAATGTAGACAAAAATGTAACTAAATAAGGATACGTACCTACCATTACTTGTAAAAAGTATTTTGTTGTGACCAATTTTCTGTTGAGGGGGCAATATGCAAGATTTTGGGCGGGAGTCGAAGCGCCGTCTGGCGAGCGTCGACCGTTCGGTCGATGACCTTCCGCGACGCGGAGGCGTCGTTGCCACGGCGATACGCCAGAGTTGTCGTCGTCGTTGGTAGAAAGGACATTGCGTGCGCGGTGGTACTCACAGCGTGTGCAGCGACGGCAGCGGCGGCAGCGCCTCCTCGCCTAGCTCGCCGATCAGGTTGCCCGACAGGTCTCTGCGGACCGCACAGATCGTCAGTGGCAAGCCACTCGAAACGTGTTACGTAACAGTTCCGAAAGTAGACGTTTCATGGCGGAAGGACGAAGAATCGAGAGAGAATAATCGACGACAGGCCGGCAGTTAGTCCGACATAAATATTGCAAATGGCCGTGGCTGCTGCGCTCGTGGATAGAGATATCAATCGTCGCGGCATAATAGCGCGGGGACGCGGCAAGACCTCCAGCTTTGTACGACGCCATTTGTATAATTTAATAGCCATTACAGCTTTGTGCCGCCAACGGGTGACATGAATCATGTGAATTTACGGCGCACAGCGATGAAGCACCGCCGCAGATGGGTGCGCGCCATGCTATATTGCCGCGGCTCAGATTAGTTTATAGGCAAAGAGCTCACAGGTACTGCAGCCGCGCGAGGGGCGCAAGCGCTGCAGCGGGCGGCGCGCGCAGCTGGTTGCGCGCCAGGCGCAGCGTGCGCAGCGCACGCAGGGCTTCCAGCGCGTTGTCCTCCACCTCTGTCAGCATGTTGTCGTCCGCTGACCTGCGCACACGCACATGTTCGTTTATCATCTCATGCCATAATTTGTCAGCTTACGACTAGAGTTTAAAAAATTACAAGTAAAGTACCATTAGTATTTTTATATTTAAGATTTATATTAAAACGTACCTAAATATATTTAAGGCGCTTCAAAATTGAGCTGTAAAATGTCACATACAATAACGGAACCGACAACCGCAACAGATTCTCACTTATCCACTTAACTTAAATGAAATTGTTATCCGTATCCAAAACGCACTGAGGTACTCAGCAGCCCTTCACCAAATCCTGGTGTCCAAGTTAATTAGTAGAACTCAGATTCGGGTCTATAAGACATCATTAGACTAATCTTGATGTATAGATGCGAAGCCTGGACGCTGACGTTGAAGCAGGAGAACAAGCTCTTAGTGGCGGACAGGAAAATCTTTAGGAAGATTCTGGATCCAACTAGGGAAGAAGATGGAACCTGGCAGATGAGGAAAAATCTGGAGATCGAGGTTTTGATAAAAGAGCCTAACATCAGGGGAGAGAGAGACCAAATGAGCCCGACTTCGATGGCTTGGCCACGTAGAAAGGATGGGTGAGGATCGCGAAGTCAAGAGAGCATATCTGGGGCAGCCGACTGGTAGAAGACCGGTTGGACGTCCTATATATCGCTGGATCGACCAAGCCCACAAAGACCGGTCTGAGCTTCGAATAGCCGATTGGCAACAAGCGGCACTGAAGAGAGAAACGTGGCGCATCTTAGTGTCGGAGGCCGAGATCCACTTCGGGTCGCTGAGCTAGCGAAGTAAGTGAGTAAGTATCTACTTAATAATAATGGTTGTTAGTAATTAATTACTTAGCATTTCATTTGTAATCCGTAGCCATTACGATCACGATATTAACACACGGAACGCGCATATTATGACGTAATGTTTACGTCGAAGTAGAGATATTTCTATAAAATTGCGCACAAAAAGGACACAATACTACACAAAGAGCTTTTTGTTACTACTTTACCGTATTTATAATGCTTTAAGCGATATAAGAAAACATCTTACAGGTTTCATAGAACCTTATTCATTTATTTCATTTCATTTCGTTTCGTTTCGTTTAATTTCATTAGGCAAAAAATATGTTATTGTTATATTATCTTCTTTGGTAATAAGAGTCGCTGCTGTAGCACTAATACCACTTGTTTATTTATTTATTCATTCATTTACATTACAAACTTACAGCTAAATAGAAAACACGCTTACATGTCATAAACAGATAATTTTAAATATTCTTAAGTATGACATGCTATAACTATTCTAATTCTAAAATTTTACACATCTCCTTACATATAAATTCAACGCTATCAGCGAATATGTCAATGTGATCAGGCGTATAGCGCGAACGGTCGACGCGTTTGCGGCATGTACCGTACGAGAGACGGGCTAGTGTAAGAGCCGCGGCCGGGGCGTCGCGGCACGGCACGCTTGGCACCAGCAGATCAATCTTAGCCAGAAGAAGCATCCTTCGCCTACGAGTCAAGTGTCTAAGTCCACCATGCCCGCAACAAAGGGCGAAGGATACAAATATGGGTACCCGTAATGCCGTCTATAGAGCCAACGCAATGTCAATGCAAATTTTCGCTGTATTGGTTCAACCATGATAAAATATTTGTATTCACGAGGGTCCCAAATTATAGCTGCATATCAACACCTTCACGTCCTTTCACGCCCAGATATACCTTAAGGTCATCAGCAAGAAAAGAGTCATACGAATAGCTTGAGGCAAGCCGTTTATCATTAGCAAAAACTTCCTTGACTGACGCCATATCTTGTATAGTATTCTGCTGACACAAACCCCTGCACTTTCAAGAACTGGCGCGTATAGTCCAAGTAACCACAACTGCCAAAAAACCACAGGAGCTTAGGCTTTTTTAGGGTATTTCCTCAACAGTATGTCATTGACAACTCCGTCAAATGCTTTTTTATAATCAAAGTACGCAGCGTCAACTTGCCTTCCAGAATCCATTGCTGTAGACGCCACTAGATTCGTTGTGGTTGACCGAGCTTTACGCAAGCCATGTTGACTGTTATGCATCAAACCGTCATCATCATCATCATGCGTCAAAGCGCTTGATAGTCCGCTTTACGCCAATTCCAATCGGGACACATACCCTGTAGCTTAAGGGTACGAAGGCGAGAAGACAGGAGCCTAGTGCCGCGCCCGCACCGCACCGCACCGACTAAGGGTCGTATTCTAGAACTCTACTCAATGCTCAAGTCAGGATTTGAGTATGGTTTAAAACACTCGAAATCATACTCAAGTCCCTGCCATTAGGGTCGTATTTCCAGTGCTTGAAATCATACTCAGATCCTGACTTGAGTATTGAGTAGAGTTCTGGAATACTACCCTTAAAGTCAGTTTAAGCGCCGTATGGTATCCGTCTATCGGTACTGGGAGGTCACAAGTAATTGAAATGTTAACCTGAACAGGGATAAGATCACTCAGTATTAAGTCTGAATTCCCGCCATAACTATTACTACTATTGGAGTTATTTAGACATAAGAGAAAGCACTATAATAAGAGAGCTATAGCGTGCTCTATCGCTAAACTTTAGGTCGTACTACAACTATAGCTGTGTAGTAGAACTATACAGCCGTATATATATACAGCCGTTTTAGAGCTTTTTTTTATCGCCAATTGTCAGTTGGGCGTATGTCCATTTCCCAAGTAACTCTCACAAAAAGCCCCATTTAGTTAATGCGACTCGTTTATAAAGTCAACGTTGATTGAATCAATCAACTTCACGCTTATTTTCATATGGGAACATTGGCAACGATCATCATGTCATAGTACCAGGTCAGATGACTGATTAAACTGAACAGATTCAACTACACCAGCGCCTCCCCCCTACGACCTTACACTATTTGAGTAGTCAAACTGAGGTAGCATTTGTAAACAAAGAAATAAAAATCGAACTAGTTCAGTAAATCGTTTCTCTAATTAGAGTACAAAATGTAATAATATTAGCTAAGATTTATTCTTTTGCAAAGCACATTACGTGCAACAATAAACCGAATTCACGTTTGAAGTGAGAACAGCGACATTATGCATTGTTTCATGTAGTTCCTATTATTTTTATAACTTTCATGTGATAAAAGCAGCTTTGACGTATTATGACAGCAGTGGCTTTATTAAAGCTTTATTAAGCCAAAGGTAGTATTTGTTCATTTAATAGTAATAGGTAGTTCGAGGAATTTATGTATTATACTGTAAGAATTAAAATACGTGTCGTCGTATGTTGCTGTACTCGAAATTCATTGGGCGGAGTTGGGTGAGTCTAAGTCTGGTTTGTGCAGAATGCTACTTTCACATTATTTTCGTCTAATGGACATAACTGTTATGTAAACTGCCTCCGTGACCGAACGGTTACCTTGCCGGACTGCCACGCAGAGGTCCTGGGTTCGATTCCCGGCCTGGGAGAAATATTTGTATGGCCTACAATTATTTCTCTCGTGAGTTTGGGTGTCATTTGTGGTTGTCTATGCGTGTGTGTATCCATGGCACCCGAGACACAGGGTTTCCCTAGTGCCAGGCTATGTTGAGTGTGTCCGTTATTGATTGTGTGTTATGTAAACAGTAAAGAATTTGTCAGTTGAAATAGTGAACGACAGTCGAGCAGCTGTCGCATCGCGTGAGGCCGTGCCGGTGTGCCGTGAGCAGGGTCGCGGTCTCGCGGACGCAGATGGAGGCCGACGCTTGTCAAATCTTTTATTGTCACTCGGATGCGTGCACGACTGGGCTGGAAGTGACGGACCGGTTCATTGCTTTAGGTTAGCGATAGAAATGACTAATGCTTCCTGACGCCGGACGACACACGGCGACCACGAAGAAATTTGGCAAACACGGTGACGCGGCGGGGCCGTGCGAGCGCGGGCGCGCCGGCATTCGCACGCTGCAGCCAGCCGTCGCGGCCATGGCCCTGCTTCGTACTCAGGTACTTTCATGTACAGTCATATACACAAGACACCTGACCCCTCAAGCCGACTTTGTCGACCTTTTGGTTCAAAGTACAAAAATGTGGAGAAAATTGTTAAACAAACTTAATCTTTAACCTGTGAGCCGTAAAATTTATTTTGGTATGACTCCCTGGTCCTTAGCATTAGTGAATGACATTTTAAGAAAGTTTTTAAGCGAATTCGTTTTTAAACGTACCTATGGTTCTTACATAAATACAGAACACAAATTTCGTCTATTTTAGTAACGACGTCGTGACCAAACGGTACAAGGATTGCTTTGCAAATTGAGGCAAGCATGGTTCGAGCTCAGTTTAAAAATTAAATATTAAATAAAAAAAAAATAAAATAAAAAGGCATTTATTTCTCCACAAAACACATAAAATTGTAATAACAAGATCAGCCCAATACGAAATAAGAGTATGCAATGTGGACAAAATGGTTAAGGACTCAGCATTGCTGTTTTTCAGTCCTCACCCTCTACCATTCGCTATGATATTGTTTAGCTATGACATGGCTATGACTATATAATATTGTTTATTGTTTTTAACGCCTGTATAGGTGTAAGGAATGTATGTCTAAATCTTGTTCATACAGAACAATAGTTTCTAATTTTAATAATTCCGTTAAATCAAGGCATTTTAAAACAAGAAAGAAAATTTTGAAAGTAATTAAAACTGGATAGACGAATAGGAACGAAACGTGGCACAATGCGTAATCACAGAACTCACGATCGGATGCAAACTGCAGTGCTTTCGTGATTTGCTAATCTATCCATATCCACCCTACGCTTTATTAATAATATCTGCCCACCCACCTTCGGAAATTTCTAGTCAACAAGTTATTGTGATTTGTCAACTTTAACATTAATCAGTACAGAGTACTAAAAACCGACCTCAAAAGTTCGTGGAATTACGTCTATTTGCCAAGTTTTATTGAAATATCCTCTAGATCCACTACACAGGACTTGACCCAGGAGATAATAAAAAATCGATTCTCACTACTCAAAGT